ACTCCAGGGAACAAGAAGCATTGATGGATGAACTAATCCAGGTGATTAAAATTCAATGCAAAATAAGTGTTTATAATCACCCTACACAACCCTATCCTTACAGGCAATACTAGATTTGGTTTGGATTGGACTATGTAGGGGAGCTTAGGTAGTGAATACATGAATTAAACAAACAAGCTTTTGATCATACCAGTTAGTGAACTGTGGCTGCAGGCATAAAATAGAATACAGACATTTATAAAGGAAATTCTGTTTTCCTCTAATTATTCCCATTTGGAAGAAAAAAAAAAACCAGTCTTGATTCATAAAATACCCACACAGTAAAACTAGATACACTCCTTGGCTGTGCAATTCAGTAAATTTAGTATTTAGATCAGCAGGTATTAAAAATTGGATGACAACCAACCCCCCCGCCCCCCCAAAAAAACCCATCACCTTCCTTTACAAACCTTTTAGCACTGGCAGCATCAATTATTCTGTCCTCACATGTTCCTTAAACACCTGAAGGGACCCGTTCACACACATCTAGCGGTGACCTGCGTTGTGCCACACTGAATCAGTGCTGGTCACTGATGGGACACGTAGCAAACAATTGTTTTCTATTTTTCCTATTCACGTATAATGGGTAGGGTGCCACAATAAAATGCAAACAGGCTGCATTTTATCACAGCACAATGGATCCCACCGATGGGTGCCACACAGTAGAGCAGCGGACCTTGCTGATGTGCAGGGACCTGAATGGAGTGTACACATTGGCTGTGCACAATACGCACACTACCAGCGCTGTCACAACTCACTAGCCCATTCACCGAAACGTAGCATTTCAGCGAGCGGACAGGCTGGTGTGAAGGAGCCCATGAAATTAACCATCATATCTTTGGCCAGTGCTGGTTAAAAATCGATTTGCATGCTACAAAGTGTGTACTCATTCAGAAAAGCAAAGAATGCGGCTTGTATAAATGATATTTCAGTTTACTGGACCAGGAATACAAAACATTTTTGTACAAAATCTTTTATTTAAGGCCACTTGTATTTCAAGTTAGTGTTCATTGAAGCGACCACATGACCATGCATAACTGTACCTGCTTAAAGCGACCTGACCTAAAAAAAAAGTACCTTAGGTAACTACAGTGCTGATGCCTGTGGTGGTCTTCATATTATTTGTTGTATCTATAGGGCATGTTGGATCCTTGTCCAAGGTTCTAGGTCCTTCTTCTACCCAAGTCTACGCGCACCTTTTTAAATATATTGATGACACAGCCAGACAACTGCAGACAGAAATGATTTATTTGGCGCAGATCGTACGACTTTTGTAAGACATAATTTTTCAACATTTGGTTCATTGGTTGCATCTTACTGTTCAAACCCTTTATCTTCACCTTGAACAAATGTGTGGCACGCCCTCAATAGTTTCCATTGCACATTTACATTATAGATATGTCTCTATTGCGGTATACCCCTTAATTTGGGTGATGGAACAACTGGTAAATGGCGCCACGGTAATCCACAAGGAAGATATGTTGTCAGCACATCTTCTGCTTAAAAACTCCTCCTTATTGATGTTCATTCATCATATCAAAAGAAATGAATGTCAACAAAGACTAAATTTTGAAGCAGAAGACTGACAACATATCTTCCTTGTGGATTACCGTGGCACCATTTACCAGTTGTTCCATCACCCAAATTAAGGTATATATTGTAATTGCCTCTCCCACCATCCACAATCTTCTCTAGTTTTAAGAGCGATGGTACATACAGAGAATACGATTATCCCTTCTTTACAAGGGAATTGCTTTTTCTCATTTTTATTTTTCCATCAGGGTCGATTTAAGTATGAACAGAGATACCTCCAGGTCACATTTAAATTTGAACTCCAGCCAAAACAGCTAAATACAAATGTAACACTTATTTGTAAATCAGTTAATGCGGTCTTGTAGATCCAGACCCCCCCCACCCCACCCTAGGGGCACAGCTAGATCAAGCAACCTGCTGATTGGACAATGAAAAGCAGTAGGCGTGCCGAAGAGGCTCCCCTGGGCTCTGTCTTCCTGTAAACACGTACATGCAGTTAGCAGACAATACAGTGTAAACCAATAGAGGAGCCCTGATTGCCGCAGAGTCTTGCTGTGCTGGGGATTGCAAGAGGCTAATATGCAGCATTCAGGGACTCAAATTGCGTTCAGAAATGACTTTCATAGATACATATTTAAAGGCGTAGTCCACCTTTTGCAAAAAAAAAAGTGCATTTAATGATTTTCTGCCCTGGAGCCCAGAGAACAATTCATAGCGGGTGCAATGCTCAGGCTCCTGCAGACTATTCCCCTAATCCCAGGTCTTTTCCGAGGGAGGGATCTTCAGTTACAGGGCTGGAGAAAGCCATCAATGACATCACTGCACTTCTGTACAGCCGTGCCAAATTTAAAAGGAGAACTATGAGGTGAGTGAAAATCACTCAGCCTCATAGTTCGGGCCGACGTGTGACAATGAAACTGTCACAGGTCGGCTCTATAGATCAGGACGTGAGCGAACACATACCGTTCGTCACGGCTCCCTGCAGGGATTCCCCTCTCCGATCCACCAGCGCTGACTGGAGGAACGGATGGGGAGGGGGCGGGTACAGCTGGCTCTGCCTCTAGATAGGAAGAGCCCGCTGTCACTCAACAGCGTTGTCGGGATCTGTCCCGGCTGCGGTGGTCTCGGTATACCGCGTGCTGTATCTCGTGATATACTGAGCTTTGGGTCAGGGGAGGACACTAGTGTCCTCCCGTGACCCTTAAGAGAACTATGAGGAAAAAACACTTACCCCGTAGTTCTCTTTTAATTATATAGAGGAGTTTGCAGGGAGAAGAACACCACAATTCAGGTGAGGGGGGGCTGGGTAATGTGACCCGATATATAGGTGTAACATAAAAAGTGGACACAAAAGCTAAACTTAGCCTTTAACTGATCTATTTTCACGACTAGATTAAATTGTGTGCCTCTTGTAAATATTCTCATATATTGGTGAATTTTGTTCTGACTGGAGTTCCCCTTTAATGTCCAGGTTACAGGCACTGTTACTGTGCTACTTCTTCTGTTTAAAAGACAAAACATACTTTCTTGTGCTGCAGTTTCTACAATGTACATTCTCACCAACATAATATATAAGATTTTTAAATACATCACAATCATTAAGAACTATTAAATGACCATCTCCCAGTGATTGCCTTAAATTATATGAATTAAAAAATAAGATATTAAACTCCTAAATGTAAAAACCCTCTTGACCTTAAAAACCGGACCATTGTAAATCTCTATTTCCACTTGGTTATTCTCAGAGGGATATTCCACTCCTAGACAATTCAATGATCCAGACATCTGAACCTAGGAGCCGACCCTTTCTCTTGCGGTATGTACACACTGATATATCTGCACGTTCCCATTGCAGTTTATACACATACGTTTTAGAGCGGACATCGTGCTCAGCTCCCAGCATGCAATTTCTTTTGTCATCGTATGCATTTCCATTTTATATGAGGCTTTTGCTTGAAATGTGTTCACTGTTTTTTCCCCTCTGTATTTCATGGAGAGGTGCAGGTTATATATAGTACAAATCTATGCCGCTTTGCTGTAGTATGGATGCTAAAACACTGAAAACCTGCAGCAGTGTCTACAGTGTGGAAAGGGTCAGCCAGGCCACAAGAAATGATTGTTGTGTTTTTGGTAAATGCTGACGAGTTGAAATAATCTAACTTTTCTTTTGGTGTCTCTTGCGGTATGACCTTCCCACCGTAGTCCCTAGCTTTAATCCCCCTTTGTAGCACCACTCCCAGGAGTTCTATATGAGTGCCGTGCGAACCGATGCATGACGCTAGCCCCCCTAGATGGTGCTGGTGAGTGTAGGACAGCCATAGCTCATCAGCGCAATCTAGGGGCTCTAGTGCAGTGCAAATGTCAGTGTTATTAACAAAGCCCTTAGTGTAAAAAAGATCAGCAGAAAGGCAGAAGCCTCCTCATCATGGTTGAAAGTAATGGGCAGGCCTGGGGCCTCACCAGCACAGATCTTAATGCTTAAATCCCTACAAACTAACTAGAATCAGCTAATCTGGGGGTAGATTATCAAGGAAATTTGAACACTTCAGTGGAATGAAATCCCAAATCACCATTTAAGCAACCTAGAAGCTTATTAAAACCTATATTATTTCCCCCTTACCTTTAACCTCAGATGATAAGAAATGTTTTGGAATTCTTGTCAGTTGTTCCAGACACCCTCATTCTGCCCGTTCCTGAAAATGACCGCTCACATGCTCTCTCTGTCAAAAGAAGGTATTTAGGCAGATCCAGTCAATCGGTGGCTCCACCTGAATACCGATCCTGCCTTAAGACACTGAACACGTGACCACCATCAACAGCTGTGTCTATGTACTGGCAGCCTGATGGAGCCAGTATCTGCTGACAGGTACGTAGGTTACAGTACAGCAAATGGATGGTGTAGCGTAGGATATAGGTTTGCTTAAATATGTCGCTCTTTCTAAATTGCAGAATAATACGGTAATCTGCGATATTTAAATCTAAGGCTGGCCTCATACAGATATAGTCTCTCCAACAAGTAGACATTTGGAAGCCTATGCATAAGCCAGGCACGAGGACCCACCTGCAATGCTCACCAGATGCTGACAGTGGGAGATGTGTAGTACCTCTACACTGAAGACAATTCAAATGCAGGGAAACTAACTCAACTGGTTAATAAGAGCCTCCAAATTCCAAAGACCCCCAACACTCTGAAGGAGAGAAGAGATGGCTCAATAAGTGCAAGCATCACTTTTATGGAACTACCCATGGCCTGATTAAGATGCACTATTAAGTGTCACACATATAATGGTTAACTTTGCTGAAGATATTGAGGATGGCTTTCAGAACCTTCTCATTACGGAAGAGGGAATGGAGCTGAATATATTGTAATGGCGTTCTTTGTTCTAGATGGTTACCCCAATCATACTGATAGCAGCTCGATTATATCTCCTTACATTGCAAGAACATTACCTAGAGTCCCCCAAAGAAGGAAGCACATGACTCCTGATCAATCAGGACAGCACGGTGGGGTAAACATGGACTTGGGATCATAATAATATGCTGGGTGAAGTGCGCTTTAAACCATCTAGAACTGGGATTGCATCTGGGCTTGACTGATCTCTTCATCCCAAACCAAACAAAGCAATCATACATTCAACAGAAGTCCTGCTGTCAAATGCAGATGACCCATCACCTCTGACAAGCCCATCAAACCAGGAATATCAAGTAATATGCCGGCTGCTACTTGTGAAGATTTTTAAGCTCTATAATCCTAAGAAGGACATAAATAGATTATTCATTAAAATCTACTCTTTGCATAAAATTTCTGGTTGTGAAAAGATTTAAAAAAAATAAAACCTTTAAATGTCTTGCTGTTAGCGACCGTGCATGTTGTAGCCCAACATGGTGGAAAGCAGATAAGACTTGGCAAATATGATTAAAACGTAAAAAGTCTTTTACGTTCTATTCTTCTTTTGTTTCGGCTTTGATGGTGGCTGTATCCTCTGTGCTCTGCAGTTCCTCAGTAGAGGAGAGTGGCTTGTCTTCTTGTGTGTGTGATCCATTCTCCACACTGTCCAGTCCCTGAGTACTGTCCAGGTCCTCGGAAGCGGCTGTGCCGTTCTCAGCAAGTGACTGATCCAAGCCAACGTGTGATATAGGCATGTCAAGAGGTGGCACTTCTGGAATCGTCACCTGTTCTGTGAAGACAAAAAAATACACAAAGTTCAAATTAACAGTATAAAGAATCAGAGAAATAGTTCAGAGGGTCCCGGTCAGATTAAAGACTGCTGTAGATGAGTGCAGATGTCTAGAGGTACCTGTACATTCCCGCAGACGCCACCAAAGCATGCCGTCACAGCCACACCACGGCCATTCTGAGAGGTAAAGTGCCGATACTGCCACGTAGTGGTGGAGCCTATTCCTGCCACCTACCCCAGCCCACACACATTTCTACTGGCCCACAGGAAAGTGTAGGAGGCCAGGCAAGCTTTATCACTCAGGTAATTCCTGTCAGCATAGCTCAGCATTTAGTTGTTACTACAGGCCTTTGTAGGCTCCTTCAGGTGTGTGCAGGGACCTTCTGGGTGCCTAATCCTTGTGCCTACAGTATTTTTATTTTTCATCTAACAAAACTATGTATTATTATTTCAATAACCATTCATCTTTTTCTTTCTCTTTTGCTTTCCCCACTGCTCTCCCCCGCCTGTGTTGGCAGAGGCAGCAGGGATCAAAGGGGACACAGAGCCGATCCAGCTGCCAGCACCCAGCAGAGGAGGAGAGAAGCTGCCAGGATGCCAAGCGGGGCTACGCGAGGAGGAGAGAGCGGTCAGGATGCCAAGCGGGGGCTGCGGGAGGAGAGAGCGGTCAGGATGCCAAGCGGGGGCTGCGCGAGGAGGAGAGAGCGGTCAGGATGCCAAAACATCCATAAGCTGATTAACCCTTATAAGTAGCACTTTACTTTTTACATTTATAGTTCAAAGAATTGATGTTTTTTTATCAACGTTATTTCTGAGAGTTATTTCTGAATCACTGACTAAGAGTATCAGAATATGGTAGAGACATATTACAGCACGTATTTACATCAAGGTGAACATACCAATGTATGCACTGAGCTCTTCAGTACTCAGAATCTGGTCTGTTCCTATGGGAAGATCCGGAGCCACGTTGAGAAAAGCCGGTGACATTACATCTATCAGTTTGGTTACATCTGGAATTTCAGGCACTTGGAAATGTGAATTGTCTGGAAACCCTATAATGGAACACAAATATTAAATCCATCTTCATGACCTCCATAAACCTATTCCTCACTGCTGCAGTTGTAAAAATGTTAATGATATCGTGTAATATCGCATTATGGCCACTAGATGGAGCGGAGGAGCATAGAACATAAACATTTATTTCCTGTGCTCCTTCATTGCCATCTAGTGGCCATAATGCGATATAGCAATCAGAAAATTCAAATGTAACCACTAGCTGTCCGCAGAAATTTCTTACATGTGCACACACGATAAAATCTGAATTTTTGGCTGGATATATTATCTGAAAGCAGAGGCCATGTAGAATAAAAAAAAAAATACGTTGCACTTTGCGCAAATGTTTATCAAACCAGTATTACACTAACATGAAGTTTAGTGCACAGAATATAATACCCAATTTTTTGGTTGCATATAAAAGATGGAGTCAGGTCGGATAATTAGACACCAAACATGTCAACCCTTCAAATTTTGTTCGCCCGTGAAGCCGCAAAAAAAACTACAATACCCCAAATTTCCCCTAGGGGACACTTTAAAAACTTTTACTGCTCATCAGTTTAGTGCAAACAGTGACTGATGGGCCTAGAATTATTGCTCTTACTCCGACGTTCGTGGCGATAAGTAACAGGTGTACATGTGTAGCGCAATTTTTATTTTTTTGCAAGTAGGCGCACCGACGCGTGTTCGCGTATATATGTATGTGGGCGGGGGACAATAAAAAACATTTTTGGGCATTTTTTTTTATTTGCTATATGTTACTTCAATATTTTTATTTTTAAAAAACTTTCCCCCCCCCCCCCCCCACTAACTATATTGCTATCACATAAGGGGCTAACAAGCCCCCTATGTAATAGCAGACGAGGACCTGTCACACCCTTTTATGGGTCACCTAGGGACCCCAAAAGAACCTGAGGAAGCAGAGATTTGCTTCCCCAGCTTCTTCTCCCGACTCTAAAAACCAGAGAATGTAAACAGTGACACCGGAAGTGATGTAATACACATCACTTCCAGGACCAGTGATTGGAGGAGAGATCAGCGGCTGGAAGCCTGCTGAAGTCTCTCCAATCATTACAGGAGACCTGCTGTGCCAGTCCCGGGCCCGCATGGGGAATAGCGGAGCCTGGGGAAGCCGGTGGAGGCTGAAGGGGCAGCACCATCAGCACAAACAATCCGGCGGCTGTATAGACGCCAGATCGCTTTTACATTAACAGCCATCGCTGGTTGTTTAAAATGCAGCAGCCGAGCTCTTGGTATAACCACTTCTGTGGCACGCCATAAATGTACTTTACCCGCAGGAAGTGGTTAATTGCACTTGTAAATGAAAACGAAAAAAAAGTTTGTGGTGCGTAAATTTGCACAATGATTCAGAGAAACGTTCACAGATATTTTCAGGAAGAACGGCTCTGCAAATTGTTTATAAATCCACCCTCAGTACATTTCACATTTTCCTCTTTGCAGATTCATATGCACTGCACATCCATGTATTACAGAAGAACATGTGTCTATAGATCACATCTCAAGTATAAAGACACAGGGGGGAATTTATCAAAGCAATTGTGACAGTTTTAGCCTCTTGGATCATTTTTTTTATGTTCAGATCTGTTTAGCCGCTTCTTTTAGTATGTCTGCCTGTTTTGACCAGAGCTTGCACTATTTTTCCTATTGCACGTGTTTTGCGAAAGTTTGCACCTGTTCACAACTATTTACCTCTGCGGCTGTCTGAGACTGGAGCATCTTCTAACAAAACAATTGGAACTTAAGAAGTCTCCATGACCACTTCTTCAAGAAGCGACAGGTAAGGTTTTTGCCTGGAGTTACGAGTCTTCTCTCCTGGAATCTATTTCATCTCATTTATGAACATTACACTAGCAACATAAATTCAGCGCAAAGTCCATCAAATATATCCCGTGCGAGTTCAAACTAGGGATGCACGATATAAATCGGCCGAAAATGGCACTTTTGGCATAATGCCGCAAGAGCCATGTTTCGGCCGATACATTGGCGCATCCCTGTTTCTTTTCTCCTAGCTGGGCGCTGCTCTGTGTTCCAGCGGGGAGAAAAGAAAGTGACAACCAGCCGAGCGCTGCAGGACGAGGGGTGTGTGGGCGGAGACAGCCAGCGCTGTCACAGGAGGCTGAGCTCACCTCCATACACTGCTCGCTCAGCCTTTTGTGACAGCGTGTCAGAGAGGAGATCGGGTACAAACACTCAGCGATCACTGTGTGTTTGTAGATAATTGAGGACATGGTATGGTTACTATATCCTCAATTATGAATGAATGGGAGTGATCTACATCACCTCATGTTCATTCATAGTTGTAGGTATAGTAAAAACAGTTGCCATCACCCCAGGTGGAAAAACAACATCCCCAAAAGCCAGTTTTGTCGACTGAGCAGAAATTGCACTGATAAAATCAGACTATACTGCGTCTAGTCTACTTCTTACCAAAACATTTAAAGACAAAGAATACCCTGATGAATTAATTACAAACGCATGTTCCACCTACCTGCAAACAGTTACACCCAAAACTGTCGATCATAACCAAGCTTCAGCTAACAACAACCAAGTGAGGTTCATTACCACATACAATAATAGTTACAAGGCCATAGAAAAAGTTCTCTGTAAAAATTGGCACATCCTACTAAAGGATCCAAAATTAGGACCCCTCTTACCAACCAGACCATTCATAAACTTTAAGAAAAACAAAAATATCAAAAACATAATTGCACCTAGCAAATTACCTAAAGAATCCAAAACAAACACAAAAAACTTCTTGTTTGATAACAGGGTTGGGACATTTCAGTGCAAAAAACCTAAGTGCCTCACTTGCCAATTCATCCATCATGGCCAAGAAACATTCAAAGACCATAGCAATAACATATATAACACAAGACAATTCATCACATGTACACATGATCACATGGTATATGGACTAACTTGCCCCTGCGGTTTGATATATGTCGGACGAACCATACGTCCTTTACGCAAACGCATCGGAGAACACAGACGCTTTATAGAGAAAAGAGATACAGAACACAGCGTCCCACGGCACTTCACAGCCAAACACCACAAAAATATCCATGCCCTACATGTGTTTGCCATAGAACACATACTCACTCACCTAACACCTTCCGAGCGGTTTCGACTGCAATAGAGAGACATTTTGGATATACAAACTAAACACCCTAGTACCAACTGGACTTAATGAAGATCTTGAGATACAAACCATCCTCTAAAAACAAAAATAAAAAATAACAAAAAACAACGAATAAGACCCTGGGTCCCATACATCCAAACGCACTATCCACTTCCCAAACAAAACAATTAGAATGGTTATAATTGAAAGGTCCAAAGACCATAATAGTGCATGTAACGAATTGTTTCAAAACAAATTGTTTCAAAATAAATCCTTTCCACCTCACGCTCATTCATTTTTAAACATATTCGTTTTTAAACATATTTGTCACTCATCCTTCTTTTAAACATATATTTCATTGAAAGAATACAACCACCCAAAGATAAAATCCAGCCATCCTATTGCCACAAGGAATGATCCACTCCTGTAAAACTTTTTATTAATGATTAGATGACACTACTCCTTTCCAAGTAACACTTGTCTTTAAACAAACAGTTACAACTGTACACACACACACACACACACACCTAAAGAGGTTTTCTACATAACGGCTTCCAAGCCATTCATCAGCTGCCTGGAATAACCCTCCAGGCAAGACTGACCAATGACAGCCCTCGACGATTGTAAACCACGCCCACCTGTCATTTTTTAAAACCGCTGTATTTCCCGCCAGCTCCAGTGCACGATCCCAGAACTACTTCTGGCTTGACAAAGAGGTACAGAGCCTCGAAACGCATAGCCACACCGATCACTCCACGGACCGCAAGGTCCCCTAGCCTGAAGCTTACTTTTTAACCCCTTCCACAGCGACCACTGCTCCACTGTCAGAACGGTGTACAGCGGTGCTCCTGCTCCCGATCAGCCGACGAGTGGAACACTGGCAATTGCTATGATAAATTCCCCCATTGTGTCTTATTTGATTCTCCATTTAAAAACTGCAACCTATATTGGGCTTCTCTTTTCTTTTACAAGCTTATTTGTACTGCACGTCCATGTGTTACATCCTCTAAAGGGTTTAAATCTTGTCTGCGTGTAAAAAAAATAGTGGTACTTATGTGAGATTTAAAATATACCCTTCCCTGTATATCCAGAGCAATAGCGCTCACATATGCACACACACCAACAAATGATTCTTCCTGTGGATATATGGACTTCATATGTTCAAAGGCTTCACTGTCTCCTTCACAACAGAACAGAGTTTATTCCTCTGTTCCGTTTCAAGCTGCAAAAAGCTGCATCCACATTCACGCTTTCAATATTCAACAACTGCACCGTCCGCCGCAATAACATCCACAGGATCCAGATGTAATGTATCTATTTCCTATCCAACACTTCATACAAATGTCTCTAATGTTTGTTTAATCAGTGTACAAGGTTGTATGTGTGGCTCAAATCTGCTTATCTGCTCCCACACCTTGTTACACATCCACCGTGTTCTTATTCATTAGTCTGTGAGTCACACGATACACAAGTACCCGAGATAGCAGTATCATATCGCCTTGTCCCACATTGCAAAAAGACGCAGAGGGACCATAATGGATTGACTGGTTTTGCTCTAATGAGGTTGTTTTGTTAAGGTTGGTAGCACATATTTTAAGTATTTATGTGCTCTGCATATTATTGCCTTTTGTGGTTTGAATATTTGTAAAATAATATATGCCAGGGGTAGACAACCTTGGCACTCTAGCTGTGCTGAAACTACAATTACCATCATGCCGCTCCCTCTGGGAGTCATGCCTGTGGCTGTCAGTCTGCAAGTCTTGCAATGCCTCATGGGACTCGTAGGGGTAACCAAACTCCAGCCCTCCAACTGTGGTAAAACAACCAATCCCACGAGGCATTGCAAGATTCTCACAGCTACAGGCCTGACACCCAGAGACAGATGCATCATGGGATTTGTAGTTTCAGCACAGCTGAAGGGCCAAAGTTTGGCTACCCCTGCCTTAATATATGCAGACATGAGTAGCCACATTTACCTGTTCAGCAGAAGATTACATTGTGTCTCTCTACTAGTCTAAGGCTGGGCACACACCTTACAACCATCGCAAGACTTTTGTCTTGCGATGGTTGTAAGGTACTTTAAAAAACGTACGATCTGCCTATGTTGCATAGGCAGATCGTACTTGCGATGATCGCAAGCCAAGCCCCCTGAGGGGCGGGCTTCCGATGACCGCAATGCCGAACGGGCAGTGTGCGCTTGCGCACACCGGCCCGTGCGGCTGTTATCGTATGGACATGCCACAAACCCGCCGAACATCGTACGATGCTCGGCGGGTTTTCAAACATGTCCGTAAGTTTAAAGTCGTGCGACCTTACAGTAGTAGAGGTCGCACGGCTTCCACGCACCTTACGATCATCGTACGATCGCGGGATTTCCCGCAATTATCGTACGATAATCGTAAGGTGTGTGGGGACCCTTAGCTCAATTTAATGGAACAACTGACCTTCAATAAACACAATATTCTCTACAGGTGGCGTGTTCTATAGAAGCAGAACATTATTTCCATCCAGTGTTCATTGAGTTGCTGATTGTGCGACATTGAGGTCGCACAGTATGTGCTCACTAGAAGTAGAACCGTCTTTTGCTGCTCCCAGCCACCGTTAATGGGCACTGTTTGCAGATTGGAGATCTGCTCCTCCAAAAATCACATTCCACAGAGCACAATAGGATGTCATTAGAGCCAAGAGACTGCAGGATCTATTGCTGGAAACAAGAGTTCTCTTCAGTGAAGTTAACCTACCATGTGGACGTTTTTCAGAAGCTGTACAATGTTTTTAGTGAGAGTGTAACTATACTTTAAACTATACAAAAAGAGAGGCGAAGGATAAAGTGTTCTCATTCTGCAATACCTGGATTTACCACTCTCTGTATCGGTGGCGGCAGGACCAGTGTATGCTCCCCAGCGGTGACAGGGTGTGTTTCCGCTTCGGCCAGTGCGAGGGCTTCATCAGCCGTATCTATGAGCGGTTCTGGTGCCTGCAGAGGAGCCTGATAACAAGGATATGACACAATTTACATTCTGGTCATTTAAATGATTAATCATTATTAAAGAGCCTACTTCAGCAACCTTATGGTGCCATAAGCTGTGGACACGGTGCTTATACTGGGAAGGTAGAAGAGGAGGTAAAGAACTGATCTCTTGTGAATAAGGTAGGAAGATAAAGGAAGGAAGATAAAGGAAGGAAGATAAAGGAAAGCTGTAGAGCACGGATCTCCTTAGAAGATGCTCAAAGCACTGGAAAAAGCTGCAGAAAACTAAAGAAGTCAATGAATCCAGAAACAAGCTAATGAATCTCTGCATGAATTAATGGATAACTAAACTCAAAAACAAACATGCAATACATTTTGGCTCATTAGTCCCTAGATGTGGTGAATGCATTAGTTTTCCTTTGCCAGGCTAAGAAGATTTTCAGCAAGTACAGAACATCCCCACTGACCTTGCCAGAAATGTCACTGTGAGCTTTACAGAGAGCAAACCAATCTCATATTCCTTCTGTAAACTAATCACATTGCCCCTAATGTAATGGAGATGAACAAAGGTTTGTAGCCCAGCCTGAGTGACAACCATGGTTTCCTCTAAAGACAGGTGTGAGCATATCCACCCAGGGACAGGAAGTGTGTTATTTGCAGGTTAACCAGGTAAAAATAAAGAAACAAATACCTGAAAACAAACCTAATGCAGCAACCACATCTAAGAACTTGTAAGCTGCAATATAATTACACTTGGATTTCAGCACATAGGCCGCATATAGCGCTTCCTAGAGTGGAGGCCAGAGAATTCAGGCCATCCTCCATCAAATCACACATGATGCCATCTCTCTCATTTGACAAATGCATAGATGCAGCACGGATGTATTAAAATGCTGGATGGATTTTTGAAGGACACATTTGGAAAATGAATGGTAAACCTAAGCATGGAATTAGGTTGTTAGTCTGTTGAGGGATGATCAGATCTGTCCTACCATTCGCATTTTGTGGCCTGGTTACACCTACCTATACGTGTACTTTCAATATGTGCTACAAAAACTAGACACAAATGAGAGGCTCTGTCAGGAAAACAGCAGCTGACAGAGTAACAAAGTAAATGGACTATGTAGAGCGACTGCAGTAACTAGTAAAAGAATAGAGGAGGACATTTTCTGATGACAGGTTCATACCTCACTATATCCATTTGTTGGAGGCACAACAGACTCTGGTTCTGGTGGTAACGGTGAAGGCGGTTTTATCTCAAATTTCTGCTGCTGTCTCTCAGGGTGTGAAGGAATCCGATGCAAATAACCGTAACCAATACCACAACCCAAGCTGCAACAATAAAACAAAAGATTACATCTAAAGTTCAGTAAAACTCTTCAGAATACGCTCAATCAGTGTAAAACTGGCCATATACAGGTCTGATCTTTTCTAACACAATCATAACTGTCACCTATAGGGAAGAGAGCTCTGAGCTGAAAATTTCCTGTTCAATCAACAGCCTTTCCCCCCTAAAATAGAAGGTAGGCCACCAACAGCATAAACATAATGCTATCCTGCTGGGATTAGATTACAGAATGAATATAACATTATTTGTGCTTTTAGTTCAGCTCACAGGAAGTGACAAGCACACTGCATTTCTGGCAAGATCAACAGGTACTTTCTGTACTTGCTGAAAATGATCTTAGCTTGTGAAATGAAAACCAATGCAGCCACGTCAAAGGACTGGTAAGCTGCAATACATTATATTTTTGTTTCTGGGTTTAAATATCCTTTAAGCTGTTTGTGGACAGACACAAGGAAAAGGAGGATAAGTAAAAGTGTGAAAACCTGAATCCTCCACCGCCTGGAATCTTTATTTCAATCAAGAGTGGGTCGGGATAAATCATCAAGAAACCTAGAATATCACTCTTACTCTTACTTTGCACACACTTGTCTACATTTCAATCCAAAACCTATCTGAATAAATTATAGCTCAGCATACCTTCCTTCACCTCCCCATGCTCCATTAGGGGTTACAAACACCTCTCGGCAGGAGTCGTTATCAATGTTGTAAACCAGCAGCTTCAGTGGCTTCCCCTCGTGAGATTCTATCAAAGAGTAGAAATCTTCTGACTGGAATAATATGATACAGGCAAGACATACATTATACAATGTTACAGATATTGGCCGATAGGATAAAATAACGGATACATATACATCTGCTTTGTTCTTTAGCCAATCCCCAGGTCTAGACTGAACCAGTTTTAGGTAGAAGGTAAGTACCCGGGTATTTTATTGTAAGGACAAGGTACACAAAAAGAACATAAAATGCCACGTAGAGGAGGTAATGGTGTGACCTGAACCCAGGACCATGGCCCTACCAGCCAGAAATATCAGCCACCCTGCCATGGACTTTTGTGGAGGCCGACTTACTAAATACATTGATAGTGATTACACAAATTGTGTGGTTATTAACTTCAATTATCCTTTCTAAAATGCACATTTCTGTTTATTTAATTTGCACGTTTGGGTATTCAAAGTGAAAATGACTTTGCTTTTCACATGACTGGATAACTGAAGTCTACCCTCTCAGATAGTTCTAGGCTGCTGATGGGATATACCGTATATTATATCTGTAATACGGCTATAATCGCTGTCTATTATTATTTGAAGCAGATTTTATTGATCATACATCATCTTTATAAACAGAGCTGCTCATACCTCTTGCAAAATCTGATCAGATCCAACAATGTAATCCGTATGAGGCTGCAGCCCAGCCAAGGCTGCTGGGGAATTAGGCTCCACATCCTAAAAACAGAAGAATGCGAATGTAGGAAATCTTTTACATCAGAGAGAGTGTTCCTTTGGTGTGCACTAGTTCTTTACTTACCAGGACATGCCACACATGCTCATTGGCTCCCTGGAAGCTGCAGAATCGGACGCTGGCACCCAGAAGTCCTTGCCCGCCCCACATGTTACTAGGGGTAATTTCCAGTTCTCGGACTTTCATTGTCTTTGTGTTGTAAACCTCCAGCTTCACAGGCTTCTCCACGTTCGCTTTTAAGAGATCTTTCAACATGCTGTTTTCTTTATTCTGAAGATATCAAAATCATCACATGCAGCTTATAAATGATTGGAACAAAACACTCCACAACTACAGCAAGACATTTAGGGCCCATTCACACTTGTGGTGTGTTACCAAGTGGAAGAGTCTGGTATTCCCAGAATAATGAAAATGCTGATGGCAGTAAAAACCTCCAAACCTAACATTCTTTCAGACTAATCTCCCGGTATTGCTAGATAACGGAAACAGCATAGACACATACAAGACAAGGGTTTTGACAACCTGCCACAAACCTAGGCAATTTAAGCTAAGCATACAATGACATAACGCATAGTCAGGAGTTACCTTCAGTGAGAGAAACCATTAAAAAGTGTACAGAAGTAGGCTGATTAATTGACTTGTAAATCTTCACTATACCCTTCTTACTGTCAAGCCTTCCCATTAGTCATAGGTACAACCACACCATATGAGAGCCAGAGGGGAGGAACAGGTAAAATTTACACAGAACACTTGAAATTAGATATAAATTTAGCCGTCTATATGTCTAAATCTACTGATCATTTTATTGTTCAGCTTTCACTGAACCTCTTTCTATTAATTGTTTATGTGACGCATATACTTCAAACAAACAAAATGTCCCAACAAACTAAAGCTAGCCATATACTTACTGTTTTCTTCTTGTTAAGTCATGCAGGCTGAACAAGAAAAAAAAAACCACTCAAGTCCCCCTTCCAGGGTGTCTGAATACCTGAACAGCGCCTACATCTGGTCAGGTGCCGTTCGGTTGAGAATTTTCCAATGCGGGAAATTTGAGTCATATTTTACATCCTTCATTTTTAGGTCTTTTCATGTTAAGCCCTTTCTCTGGTAACAAAGGTTTTAAAAATTAGTGTTTTTGTTTATTCCAATGGGGCCCAAAAAGACTTGTAAACTGCATCAAGCTGCGTGCTTGCATACACGATTCAAAGTACTGGAGCAAGAGGATCAACATGACAGCCAAGCATCTAGAAATCTTAAGTGAGAAAGGGGTCAACAAAAAGGTATGCCTCCGTGTTTCTAATTTGTATGTTCTATTTTCAGCATATGCTGTAACAGCAGATGGAGAAGGATTCATCAAATTGCATCGAGAGCAATGGCTACTATGTGATCTGATCTGGAATCCACAGAAGCAGGATGTTGTGGGAAGACATGTGTCATTTCTTTCAAATCACTCATCCAAAAACAAAAAAGCAGACCCACAGGAATGGGATTTACCTTGGCTAGCATGACTGCATGTTACTGCGCTTCTCCCATAACACTTTATAAATGTCCAAGCAATTTGTGATTGGTAAACAGTTCCAGCAACAGCTGCCAGAATGTCAACCAACTTAATAGGACTTGCAGTAAGCTGGCATTGTGTGCCTGGCAATTAGTCTCTTGGGTGGATTACAAGGACCTGAGAACCTGAGCAGCTTACTGTGTCATTAAAAAATGAACTAGTTGAAATAATATGACATAGATCAGTAATACAAATGTATTTACAGCTCTTCTGATGACCCTCAAGTTAAAGTAGAATAATCATGGGAACTTTTGGTGAGGATACAGAGCAGATTTTGCATATTGTTTTTAATAATCAGAAAAGAAGATAAAACATGGGAATAGGGGTACAGTGAGTGATGGGAGACATTCCCTCTAATGACTGGGATCACCTCGGAGGGAAGTCAAAGACCCAGAGCCGATCCCTGTTTTTTAAGTTTTATGTCTAACAGGACAGAAAACTATTTTTATTTGCAACAGCTTAAGCCAATATCCTGCCAAAGATCTTTCTGAACGATTATTGGCAGGTTTGTATAGCCAATGACTACCCAGGATAAGACTGGCATGGAGAGCACAAACAGCCTAATCCTGCCCTCTCACAATCAATGCAATGCGTTTAGGGCCCGCTTACATACAATGATGCTTACATTTTTCTGCACAGATGCGTGTTCTGTTAAAAGAGAACTATGAGGTGAGTGCTTTTCACTCACCTCATAGTTCTAGCTGACCTGTGACAATGAGACTGTCACAGGTCGGCTCAGTAGATCGGGAGGTGAGCGAACACATACCGGGTTCGCTCACCTCTCGATCCTGTCACGGCTCTCTGCCGTGACAGGGGAGGGGCTGGATTCCCCTCTCCCCGCTCCGATCTGACAGCGCTGACTGGCGGAACGGACGGGGGAGGGGGCGGGTACAGCTGGCTCTGCCTTTAGATAGGCAGAGCCAGCTGTCACTCACGCAGCTGGGCGGATCTCGACATCTAAGTCGGGATCCGCTCCGGCTGCGGCGTCTCAGTATACCGCGAGCTGTAGCTCGCGGTATACTGAGCTTAGGGTAACGGGAGGACGCTAGTTTGTGTCCTCCAGTTACCCTAAAGAGAACTATGGGGAAAAACACTGACCCCATAGTTCTCCTTTAAGGCAGCCCACTCATTATTAAAAGGGTTCTCCATGTGCCTCAAAGCATGAATTATTGCACCTGCATTATTTTTTGCAATAAGAAAGCAAAACATTTCCAGCGCACTTACCAGGCAGCCTGCAAACAAAAACAAAAAAACACTAAACTATTATGGTTAAAAACAGAGGTTTTATTTGCACAACTTTTGCAAAATATGTGGAAGCCACACTGCCTTGTCAAGGCCCCTCTGTGTAATGTGGTCCTAACTCTAATCTATGAGAGTCTGCATTTTGGAGCATATATAGCAAAGGATGAATAGGATGCAGGTTTACCAGGAGGTAGCCCAACCTCCTTAACAGGGACACACCAGAAGCCCAGCACATCACAATGGCAGCTGAAGCACCCAGTGTGTCCCAACAACAAGCCTAACAAGTGGTGTGGGGACACACTGGAGGCAGCCTCCTGCTCTCATAGATCAGAGTTAGGACCACACTACACAGAGAGCCTTGGCGAGGCAGTGTGGCTGAGGATGGACAGAAGTATCCTCCTGTGGTTCATGGCAATAAATGTGCCCATCTATGGCCAGCTGTACCATCCTCCAAGGCATAAACATGCATTCTAGGGAGAGAAAAGCATGCGTATAATCATTTGTGTTTGTATTCAATTTAAAAATTCAAACATTCTCCTGTGCTCCCAAAGCATGGCAACGCATTTCAAAATTGGACATTTTCTTCATATGTTTAAAAAGGGACACCGTCATCTTGCCCATTCAGGGCAAAGCGACAGTATCTCTTGAAAGGGCCCGCTGATCCCCTTATGCTCTTTCTTCACTGCAGACAGCAACACAATCCATGCTTCTGGATATGATGGAGCATTTGACCTCCTCCCCTGTGACTGTGCTCGAGCGTAGAAGCAAAGTGCTCCAGCACAGTCACATGACTGAGGGCATGACATCATCACTACCTCTGGTCATCTAAACTGCTGATTGTAGTGTTAACTGCAAACAATGAAACAGCAGCAAAAGAGCTCAGGCAAGGCAAGTATAAGGTGGTCAGGGGGTGCCCTTTTCCGAGACTGTCACTGTACCCTGCATGGACAATGTAACAGTGTCCATTAACTTATAAATGAATGAAAAGTTTCTTAACTAAACGTCCAGCATCACAAGCCTTCGGGTGCCTGTAACAACCGGCCTTAAAAACATTTAACATATTTGTCAAACAAGTATTCATGTACATAAAGCAAGTTATTTATGTTATTCATAAATCACTTACCAGCCTTGTATGTCCAATTGCAATAATAAAGTCAAAAAATGGTTCAAGTCCTGCAATCTGTGCTGGAGAGTTCTCTTGAACCTAAAAAAACAGATATATTACATATTAGTATATACAGATACATGGATAGATTTAAAATAGATGCTTGATATTATCTTTTCTTTTGTCCAAAGCAAAATAAACCTTCTCGGTGGACTATCCTTAAAATGACAGTAATTTCCCTTTATTAGGCAGGGCTGATATCTAACCCATCCCCATCTGCTAAGAATGCATCAGTGATCAATAAGGACACTCTTACTACATAGGGGCAAGGCAGTTGGTTGGGATTCCCCAGTACACAAGGTAGTCAGGCCCTCAGTAACAAAAACTGTACTATTACATCACAATAACAAACACTTTTCTGGCATTATTACAATATTAGAACGACCTGCGGGTGGGAGACAGACTTCTGAGTGTCTACGACAATCTTTAGGCCCCGTTCACACCTTTACGTTTTGTCGCGCGTTCAACGCTCTATGAACGCTCAACAAAACGTACAAACATGAAAATCCCATTGTTTTCTATGGGTCTGGTTCACACCTTTCCGTATTTCCGCCCGTCTGAAACGCCCTACAAAACGGCCTACGCTCAAACAAGTACATGTACTTCTTTGGGCCGTTTTGTAGGGCGTTTTACATGGGGATACAGCCAAGTAGCCTTCGGGGTCGCGCGACTTTTTTACCGCAAATCGCGGTAAAAAAAACGTGCAACAGACGCGCATATTCAATACGCCTAGGTGTGAACCCAGCCTTATGGTTTCCAAGCTGCCAAATCCCCAACATCTAAAATCAACCTTTAGTGCTTAAATGATTGTCTTCTAGTGACCCACTGGTTCCGCTTATGGCAGGTTAAAAGAGAACTATGGGCCAACCTGTTTGGCCTATTGTTCTCTTCAGGGTCACAGGAGGACATATACTAATATGACTCAAAGCTCAGCATATAGCGGGTTATTGCCTGCTATATACTGAAATCGCAGATCACGACAATATTGTTGGGATCCACCCCGCTGGCTGATTGACAGCTGGCTCCGCCTCTCTAGAGCTAGCTGTGCCTGCCCCCTCCCCAGTCCGTCCCTCCAATCAGCGCTGGAGGAACAGAGAGGGGAGAAGCCCTGCAGGGAGGAGTGACTGACAGTGACTGCTCTATGCAGCGACATGATCGGGAACTCAGCGGAGCCGTTTAGGAAGTTGTGTTCTGCAGCCGGGAGCGAGCGGCGCAGACACAGGTAAGTTATTACCTATTTGCCAACTTATTTCTTTTTTTTAAATGTTGGAGTATTTATCTGCTGCTTGCTAGCAGTACATATACAGTCTGCAGAAAAAATGGAGACTTTAATACCACTTTAACTGGTAATTCCACTTTCCTAGGTGAATTTGGGAAAATTGAATTACCCCCCTCCAATCTGGCCCCCTGCCCTACGGGGCAGCGCAGCCCTGCGCTCTGTATTTTGAAATTAGTTAACAAGAAGAGCTTCTCATTGGTCAACGCAGTCAAGTGACCTTACTGACCAATGAGTGCTTGCTATTTGCAAGCAAAATTTAAAATACAGAGCACAGGGCTTGCGCAGCAGTACAGATAGTACACTGGCGGAGGGGAAGGATCGTTCGCCCAAAGGTAAGATTGGAGGGGGTCATTCCATTTTCCCAAATTCGCCTGGGAAAGTAGAACTATCCTTTAAGCAGATCCTTATATCATATCATTTTGGAAATGTTAAAAGGAGACTGCACAGTCACATATCATTGTTCTATCTGACAACGTTCTTGTCTCCAGTTCTACAGGCAGTTGCATGAAAAGATCTAAATCCAAAGCGGAGAGAAGAAGCCTGCACTGTGTGACAATCGGGAGGATCAGATAGGCGAGGTGTGGCTACACTTGTAGGTACATGAATACCAGGTGTATAGGAGCACTTCCGCCGCTGTGTTCTGGATCTACTGGTTTTTCTACAACTATTTATAATGGACAAAATGGTTATTGACTGATGGCTGAATCAGAGCAGAACTCCAGCCAACAACAAACAATAAGATAAAAAGAAATAGTCCATTCGAAGACAATAAAACCAGCTTTTGCAGCAATATTCAGCTTCAATCCAGAGATTTTCCCCACAGTACTTTTTTGCCCCTAGTAATCAGTTAATCTCACTGTCATTATGCTCTCTCCTCCTACCAGCATGCTTTGTCCTCAGATGAACTGATCGGCAACTTGTGCTTCTTCTCCCTCCCCAAGTCTGAGCTCTGCAGTTCAGGGATTGCAAAAGCCTGATACCAGGTCAGAGTCAGATACTTACACTGTACGCATTTAAAAAACACATTTAATGATTACAGAGCTGCATTTATTTGTGTCTTTTATATCTGCCTAGAGTTCAGCTTTAAAGACAGACATAAGCTTAAAAATATAAAAGGACGAGGTCCAGGAGAGTCAAGACATCTGTTGTACCCCCCACACAGCAGGTGCATGCCTGGGGACTGGGGGCAGAATTAGAAGCTTCTTCTTATGCTGACATTCTACAATAAACATGTCTACTGTGTGTCACCAACCATGAGAACATCGCAGGACACAGGAGAGGTCCTCCACCTTCTGCAACCTCATCATCTAATGTCACAGTCCCTTTGTATCATCTGACCAGGCATCTACATGCAATGTCACAGTCCCTTTGTATCATCTGACCAGGCATCTCCATCCAATGTCACAGTCCCTTTGTATCAGCTGACCAGGCATCTACATGCAATGTCACAGTCCCTTTGTATCATCTGACCAGGCATCTCCATCCAATGTCACAGTCCCTTTGTATCAGCTGACCAGGCATCTACATGCAATGTCACAGTCCCTTTGTATCATCTGACCAGGCATCTCCATCCAATGTCACAGTCCCTTTGTATCAGCTGACCAGGCATCTACATGCAATGTCACAGTCCCTTTGTATCATCTGACCAGGCATCTCCATCCAATGTCACAGTCCCTTTGTATCAGCTGACCAGGCATCTACATGCAATGTCACAGTCCCTTTGTATCATCTGACCAGGCATCTCCATCCAATGTCACAGTCCCTTTGTATCAGCTGACCAGGCATCTACATGCAATGTCACAGTCCCTTTGTATCATCTGACCAGGCATCTCCATCCAATGTCACAGTCCCTTTGTATCAGCTGACCAGGCATCTACATGCAATGTCACAGTCCCTTTGTATCATCTGACCAGGCATCTCCATCCAATGTCACAGTCCCTTTGTATCAGCTGACCAGGCATCTACATGCAATGTCACAGTCCCTTTGTATCATCTGACCAGGCATCTCCATCCAATGTCACAGTCCCTTTGTATCAGCTGACCAGGCATCTACATGCAATGTCACAGTCCCTTTGTATCATCTGACCAGGCATCTCCATCCAATGTCACAGTCCCTTTGTATCAGCTGACCAGGCATCTACATGCAATGTCACAGTCCCTTTGTATCATCTGACCAGGCATCTCCATCCAATGTCACAGTCCCTTTGTATCAGCTGACCAGGCATCTACATGCAATGTCACAGTCCCTTTGTATCATCTGACCAGGCATCTCCATCCAATGTCACAGTCCCTTTGTATCAGCTGACCAGGCATCTACATGCAATGTCACAGTCCCTTTGTATCATCTGACCAGGCATCTCCATCCAATGTCACAGTCCCTTTGTATCAGCTGACCAGGCATCTACATGCAATGTCACAGTCCCTTTGTATCATCTGACCAGGCATCTCCATCCAATGTCACAGTCCCTTTGTATCAGCTGACCAGGCATCTACATGCAATGTCACAGTCCCTTTGTATCATCTGACCAGGCATCTCCATCCAATGTCACAGTCCCTTTGTATCAGCTGACCAGGCATCTACATGCAATGTCACAGTCCCTTTGTATCATCTGACCAGGCATCTCCATCCAATGTCACAGTCCCTTTGTATCAGCTGACCAGGCATCTACATGCAATGTCACAGTCCCTTTGTATCATCTGACCAGGCATCTCCATCCAATGTCACAGTCCCTTTGTATCAGCTGACCAGGCATCTACATGCAATGTCACAGTCCCTTTGTATCATCTGACCAGGCATCTCCATCCAATGTCACAGTCCCTTTGTATCAGCTGACCAGGCATCTACATGCAATGTCACAGTCCCTTTGTATCATCTGACCAGGCATCTCCATCCAATGTCACAGTCCCTTTGTATCAGCTGACCAGGCATCTACATGCAATGTCACAGTCCCTTTGTATCATCTGACCAGGCATCTCCATCCAATGTCACAGTCCCTTTGTATCAGCTGACCAGGCATCTACATGCAATGTCACAGTCCCTTTGTATCATCTGACCAGGCATCTCCATCCAATGTCACAGTCCCTTTGTATCAGCTGACCAGGCATCTACATGCAATGTCACAGTCCCTTTGTATCATCTGACCAGGCATCTCCATCCAATGTCACAGTCCCTTTGTATCAGCTGACCAGGCATCTACATGCAATGTCACAGTCCCTTTGTATCATCTGACCAGGCATCTCCATCCAATGTCACAGTCCCTTTGTATCAGCTGACCAGGCATCTACATGCAATGTCACAGTCCCTTTGTATCATCTGACCAGGCATCTCCATCCAATGTCACAGTCCCTTTGTATCAGCTGACCAGGCATCTACATGCAATGTCACAGTCCCTTTGTATCATCTGACCAGGCATCTCCATCCAATGTCACAGTCCCTTTGTATCAGCTGACCAGGCATCTACATGCAATGTCACAGTCCCTTTGTATCATCTGACCAGGCATCTCCATCCAATGTCACAGTCCCTTTGTATCAGCTGACCAGGCATCTACATGCAATGTCACAGTCCCTTTGTATCATCTGACCAGGCATCTCCATCCAATGTCACAGTCCCTTTGTATCAGCTGACCAGGCATCTACATGCAATGTCACAGTCCCTTTGTATCATCTGACCAGGCATCTCCATCCAATGTCACAGTCCCTTTGTATCAGCTGACCAGGCATCTACATGCAATGTCACAGTCCCTTTGTATCATCTGACCA